CACACGCGCGCGCGCGCGCGCCCCGGCCCGGCCCGGCCCGGCACCATGGACGTGGCGACCTCGCCCCCCGCCCCCCAGGGCGGCTTCAGCTTCCTCAACTGCCAGCGGTGAGAGGGGGGACCCCCACCCTTGGGTCCCCCCACGGGGCGATGCCCCTGCTCCCTGCCCCGCACCCCCAGGAACCGCCCGGATAGCGCTCCTGGCTCCCGCCCCGCACCACCCTCCAGCAACCAGCCCCTGCGCCTTGCCCCAGCCCCATGCGGGTGCCCTGGCAGTGCTGTGGGGCTCAGCTCGGGTGCCACCCCAGGAGGGTGCCGGCGGGGCAGGGGGGGACAGCGCTGAATGGGACCAAAGTCCTGCTGGGGACAAACCCCGCTTGCTTCCAGCTGGTTCCCCCCCAGACTGGGCCCGGATCGGGCCCCATGCCAACCCCCGTCTCCCCCCAGGAACACGGCGCTGGAGCAGGGTTTGGTCTCGCAGGGTTTCCAGGCCCCCAAGGCCAGGAAGACGGGGACGACCATCGCTGGGCTGGTCTTCACGGTGAGCCAGGATGGGGCCCATCAGGGGGTGGGAGCGGGTGCAGAGCAGGGGCTGGGAGGGGGAATGGGGGCATTGGGGTCTGGGCTGGTGTGGGGGGCAGAGAGTCCATGCATGATCTCAGCGCCGACCCCTGTCCCCTCCCCAGGATGGGGTGGTGCTGGGGGCTGACACGCGGGCCACTGATGACATGGTCGTGGCTGAAAAGAATTGTCTCAAGATCCACTACCTGGCGCCCAACATCTAGTGAGTGATTTCCCCCCTCCCCTTCCCTGTCATGGTGACCCCCAGGCTTGCTGGTTCCCCTCCCCCGCAGCTGGCAGCCCCCTTCCCCTCCCCACCCCTGCTGGGGCCCGTCACTCCAGACCTGCAGTCCCCACTTTTCCCCAGCTTCTCATTCCTGACCCACAGTTGCCGACCCCCATACCCATCACTCCCGACCCGCAGCCCCCTGCCCTGGTGCTCCTCAGTGCAGGTCCTGACCAAGCATCTCCCTCCCTTCCCCCGGCAGCTGCTGTGGGGCAGGGGTGGCAGCTGATGCAGAGGCGACAACCCAGCTACTGTCCTCCAAACTGGAGCTGCATTCCCTGGCCACGGGCCGCCCGCCCCGCGTGGTCACCGCCAACCGCTTCCTCAGACAGATGCTCTTTCGGTGAGTGGGAGGGGCCCCCCATGTGACATCATCACTATGATGCCATCACTGTGTGATGGCACTTTGTTAGGGTGTGACATCATAGCATGGAGGTGGAATTTCTGGGGTTTTGGGGACATGACATCACTACTGAGATGTTGCTGTGTGACATCACTGTGTGTGTCAGGGCCCTGTGACATTTTAGTTTGGAGATGGAGCTTCAGGCTGGCAGCAACAGGGCCTGGGGGACATGACAGCGCAGCAGCGGACAGGCCAGGAGGGTGTGATATCACAGCCTAGAGGTGGAGCCTTGGCAGGGGTTAGGCATGACCTCAGTCCTAGGCTCCTGGCATTGCAGCTGGGGTGTGGCATCATGGCATGACCTCCCTGAGCCAGGTGCAAGCTTGTGGCATGATGTTGCTTAGAGAGGAGCAGCTGGGGTTTGGTGTCACAATATGAAGTGGGGCTTTGGGGTGTGACATCACAGATGGGGAGACAGCATGGGTTTGGTGTTGCAGGACAATGTATGACATCAGGGAAATGTTGTGGTGAAAGGCAGGCCATTCCTGGGGTGACATTGCAGGTTGGGGGAGGGAGCGGGGACATCTGAAGTTGTGGAGAGGGGAATGGCCAAGCCTGCTCCTGTGACCTCACAGGTTGGGGTGTGATGTCACTGAAGTGGAGGGGTGAGGTCACCCTCTCTTCTCTCCCCTAACCTGCAGGTACCAGGGCCACATTGGGGCATCCCTGATTGTGGGCGGTCTGGACTCCACAGGGGCTCATCTCTACAGTGTCCACCCCCACGGATCCTCCAGCCGCCTGCCCTACAACTCCATGGGTGAGCGGGGGAGGGGCTGGGCTCCAACCAAGGGTTTTGGGGGTGCTGAGGAGAGTAGGGTTGGTGGAGGGGCCTTGGGGAGTCCATGCAAGACACTCCAGCTGAGGAAAAGCCATGTCAGCCACAGATACAGGCTGCACGAGCCAGCTGGGATGAGGGCAGCCCGCAGGGAAGGGGCTTGTGGATGATGACTCACAGCCCCCTGCCCTCCTCTCCAGCCTTGACGGTGCCCCTCACTCCTGATCCACAGCCCCTTGCTGTCCCTAGGTTGCAGGGTAGACTGGAGCATCTGGGTTTATTGCCAGGCTTCAGGGCTTGGCTGGTGACCACATGGGCTTGGGAAAGAATTTCCCACTCCTGTTGCTGTAGGATTTTCCCCTCCCCAGCAGCACTGGGTGCTGGTTGCAGTCAAGGCTGGTGTTGGGCTGGGTGCTGTGAGTGAGGGGGAGCAGGGTCCATGGGGCAGGGTCTCACCCCTCCTTCTCCCCCACCCCAGGCTCCGGGGCAGGGGCAAGTATATCACGGCTGGAGGACCGGTTCAAGCCTAAGATGGAGGTGAGTCTAGGGCGGAGCAAAAGGCAAGGGCCCAGGAGTCCAAGAGCACCATGCCTGACACACAGAGGCCTTGGGGATGCCTGGCTGGGTTGTGCCAGGCAGGGACGAGCAGGCTGTGGGGAAGAGCCCAAAGTCCAGGAGGGCTGGGGCTGGTACCGCAGTGTCTGACTAGGCAGAGCTGACCTGTCTGTCCCTTCCCCCTGCAGCTGCTGGAGGCACAGGAGCTGGTGGCTGATGCCATCCAGGCTGGCATCCTGGAGGACCTGGGCTCAGGCAGCAGCGTGGACCTGTGTGTCATCACCCAGGATGGAGCCCGCCTCCTGCGTGGCTACCGCACCCCTGCTGCCCCCAGCAAGAGGTGAGACCCCCGTACCTCTCTGTCCTCCCAGGCACTGAGACGGGTATGGAACTGGGGGCTGTCTTGGCGAGCGAGATGGAGAATGGGCCCAGGCATCTGGCCATGGGGGTGTCTTGGAGTGAGAAATGGGAAGGGACCCAGGTGTCCAGGATGGGTAGTCCAGGTTGCAGGGCAAGACAGTGGAAGGACCCATACTTCTGGATCATGGGTTTGCATTGGTGGGGGGACGAGGTGAGGACCCAGGAGTTCAGGACAGAAGTGCTGGGACCCAGGGAAGGGGTTGGAGGCTCAAGGGTGGGAGTTGTGTGCCATGGGAGCTCTCAGGGTGCCAGCACTGATGCCGCTCTCCTGTAGGCTGGGCCGGTACCACTACAAGTCAGGCACCACGGCGGTGCTGAGTGAGAAGGTGGAGCTACGGTCCCTGGAGGTGCTGGAGGAACATGTGCAGAGCATGGACGTGGAGTGAGAGGTGCTGGGCTTTCATGTGGGCAGCTGCCCCTCTCCCACAGCACAGAGAGGTTGTAGCCATTTGGAAGCCAAACAGAGTCCACAGATGTTCCCTGCTTAAAATCTTTGCTAGGCAGAAGTTGGGGTTGGGAGTTAAACACACTCCAGGCAGCTTGCAGCCCTAAAATTTAGAATTTCAAATGCTGATAAATCAGAGTCCAAGTTGATTTAATAAAATAAGTCTAAATGATTTTGACTCCAGGTGTTACATTTCCTTAAAGAGCTTGTGGGCATGTTGGAGTGATGGTTTAGCCATGACGGTCCAAGAAACATGTAAGAGGCAAGGATTTCTGTGCAACCAGAGTTGTACTGTAGTCCTCTCAGTGGAAACACAATTGGGCCCTCAGTTCTTAGAATCACAGCTCTTGCCATGGGGAACAAGCTGTTTTGGTGCCTCAAGGTACAAAACAAGTTATCATTTTAGGGTGTTCAGTTTTAACCTTTTAAGTTTAACCTTACTTGGAATTTCTTTGATTATTTGAGATTTGGTTGTGTGATTATTATGAAATTCTTGTAATTGCTTTCTTTACTACTAATAAAGACTGTCAATCTGAACTCCATCTTCATGTAGTTATTTGTTCAGTGAGCCCATATTCATTTATTTTATTACTTACCCCGTACCATAGTAGGTATGTGCAAGTCTATTGTTGCCGCTAAAAAAAAGTTAGACAGGTCCTCGCTCCAGGGCTTAAGGCATAAGTAAGCACCATTTGGACCAAGAAAGATACAACCATAAACATGTTTAAACTACTGATGTCCTGCTTTCTAGTTTCACGTTTTCTTTTACACTTTTATTTGAAAGCCTTAAAATACAGATCGTTCTTCTCGCTCCTTTGTGTGAGTTCCAGACTAAAGGCTTCTTGAAAGACTGTAGCAAAAGGAACATTCACTATTACATATTTGTCATTTAAACAGCACAGACAGGACTGAGATGTCTGATCTACCTGCTTTAGTGTGCAAAAAGCCTACCTCATTTCAGATGCTGTTCCAAGTTGTTGGTTCCCATTGGTGTAAAACAGACTCCAGTTTTCATGCACACAGAGATATCCGTGGTGCGTGTTGGTCGCAGCAGGTTCCTTGAAGGGCAGTGTGAGAAGGCAACTAGAGGCTGAGCAGCTGCTTGTAGCTGGTAACTCAAGTAGCAGAGGAGGAGAGGGGCAGCCTCTGGTTACAACACTGTTATACTTCAACTTGCTTCCCTGGGAGCTCTGTCTTGGCTTTAGTGAAAGTGAAATCAGTTTAAAGGAGCCATTTTCACAGACCTGCCTTTTGCATGTCGGCTCAAGCTTCTGTTCCTGCCAGAAGAGCAGACAGACACCAGCAGACTCTCCCTATGCCTGAAGAAGGGTGCCTGTGCCCAAAAGCTTGCAAAGAACATTTTTTCTATTTAGTTGGTCTGATAAAAGATTGCTATCATGTTTACCTGAAGAACTTGTCTGCCACCGGTCCAAAGGGCAGAGCGTTCCCCTCCAGCCACCCATGAGCTCTCATCCCAAGCAGTTCCTGCTTTTCACAGGGGAAACCCAAGCCAGGGACTTTTTCTCTGGTCTCCAGTTTTGTGACAGCATCATTCTTGGCCCTGTTTCAGGAGTTTCCTGAAATCTTTGGGTGAAACTGAGCCAAGTTTTCCTTCAACTGTTTCTTGCCCCCAAGTGTGCTGAAGCCCATGGAGGATTTTAACCAAGATTGTGCAAAGCCGTCTGCCTTTGCTTGGGCTTCACATTGTGTTTCTCATAAATTCATAGATTTTTAGGGGCTGGAAGGGACCTTGCAGATCACTGGGTCCAGCCCCCCTGCCCCCAACCAGCTCTAGGCAGGAAGACAACTGGAGTTAAGTGACCCCAGTGAGGTGACTGTCCAGTCTCCTTGAAAACCTCCAGGGTAGGTGATTGCACCACCTCTGGAGGGAGCTTATTCCACACAGTCTGGACACCTTGACTGTGAAGGAGATTTTCCTGGTATAAGCCTGAAGCAGCCTTCCAGCAGTTTGTATCCATTGGTCCTGGTCTTCCCCGGGGGTGCCCTAGTGAACAGTTGTTCACCGAGCTCCTGATGCACTCCTCTGCTGAGTACAGCGGGAGTATCACTTCCTTAGTTTTACACAAGATGCATCGGTTGATGCATGCCAGCGTGTTATTTTCAGGTTCATCAAGTTTTCAGGCCCCTCTGAAGAACTGCAACTAGTTAAAAAAGAGTTTCACTGTATCCTAAGCAAGACACCAATGAGGTGAATACAGTGCCATGCTCAGCTCCAATTTCCATCTTTCTCCATGGGAGACCCATGGCTGTGAGAACAGACAATTAGAAGTTTGCATCTGAGAGGAGAAGGTGTAGCAGCTGGTACAGGGGTGGGAGACACTCCCCATCGGCTCAGATCAGCTCCTAATCCAGGAAGGAGTCTGTATAGCACCTGATTGCCCCCCAGCCCCAGCCTGGCTCGGGTCGGAGCTGTCAGAGCCACTGCCCTCCCCATCCCATAAAGACCTTCACCTTGTCCTAGAAGGAAATCAGCCTGTGTGTGCATGTCTTGCTCTTGACAAATCCACACGGGCTGTTCCTCATCACTTTGTTGTCTTCCAGGTGCCTAGAAGTAGATTCCTAGATGTCATGTGCCAAGGTTTTCCAGAGATCAAATTAGACTGACTGGCCTGGAATTCCCTTGTCCCCTTTCTCCCCCCCTTTTTAAAAGATGGGCATTGTATTGGCCCCTTGTGCATTTTTGGAAGTCCCCTGCTCCTTGTGAGTCCTCAGAGATAACAGCCAGCTCTGTGAGTACTCAGGGTGAATGCCTCTGGCCCTGCAGACTGAAACACGATGCCTAAGTCATCTCTAAGTAAGAAATCTCTAAAAACATCTTCCCTTACTGTAGAGTGGTTGTCTCCATCCCTGCCCTTGCTACCAACTGTGCTCTTCATCTAAGAGTTGACCTCCATCCTGGCAGCTAAACTGAAGATGCCATCTCTTGCTCTTCCTTAATTAGCTTCCAAATCCCATGGGGGGGGAGGGGCTACACTTTTCTTGGTCCTCCTCTCCTAGTGTCCTGGTAGAAGGCTATTGTGTTGTCTTTTTTGACCCCTGTGCTAGATGTAGCTCCATTTGTGCCTCAGCCTTCCTAGTTTACTCCCAATGTACCCATGCATTACTCTTCTTCTCATCCTTAGTACTACAGCTAAGGTCCCTGTTTGAGAGAGACATTTTTAAGTTTCGGTCAGACTAAGAGACTTCTCTTTTCAGAACAGCAGGTCTCCATTTCCGTGAGCAGCTTTGTGGAATTTCCTCTGTTTTGAAGTTCAGGGCCCTCTGGCCGGCTCATTTGGTGACAATCACACACTCTCTCCCCTACAGTGCCCAGCCATTGTCCTTAACGATATCCTGAGCCTGGCTGAATTTGAACACACGAGTTTATTATTTAAACTGGGGGGAATCGTGTCTTCTTTGGAGAAGATGAGGGCCCAGCCTTGGAGGAGGCATCCTTCTGGCTCCTTCCACTGTAAGACAAGGGAAGAACAGGGGACATATTAGGAACAGGCTGCAGCCTTGCCCCGGGTCAGGGCACAAGCAGCTCCATTTTGTGGTCCGTGTTGTGGCCACGATGTTGGAACCGAGTTGGACATTGCCTGACTTCAGCCATCTCTTCCTGACAGTGCTGGGGATGCTCCCCTGTCCCACAGCTGCTCTGGGCCCCTTGGAGCATGCATGAAGGCTCTGCTGTCCCTGCACGTAGTACAGCACTGCCCACCCTGCCCATTGGGCTTCTCACCACCGCCCTGACAGGCCCCAGCAGCTCATCCCCTGGGGCTCCAGGTCTAGGCCCAGCAGTTTGGGTGCACACCCCCGCCGCCCAGGAGCAAGGACCTCTCTGCAGTCTCTGCTAACAATCAAAAGCCTTGGGGGGGAGAGGGGTAGTGCTTTGAGGGAAAGCTCCCCCTGAGGTGAAAGCAGGTAAGAGGAGGTGGCAGAGGCCCTAGAGATGGCAGGAGAGAGGGAGGAAGAGGGGCCAAAGCCCCAAGCTGCTCGTCTCCTGGCTGTCAGGGCCAGCCCTGCCGAGCCCTCCCTGACCCCAGGTGAGCAGATGTCACTGTTCTCTCCAGGGCTGCGCAGACCTGTTTTGCTGAAGTTGCTTGCCCCCGTGGTGCTGCTCCTGGCTCTGATCCCTCTTTGTAAGAATCAGTTCCAGCTGCTGCAGCCGGATGCTCTGCTGCCTCTGTTCCCTGCCCAGCCGAAACCTCTGTGGGACAGGCAGGGAGCGTCGGAGGTCTCAGGGCCGGGAATAGAGAGCAGCTGCCTGGGACACAGCCCCATAGATGCACTGGCTGCACCACATTGCCCTGACAGAGCCAGGTGCAGGTGCACTTGCATGTGCACACACACACCAGCCACACACCCATGCATGCATTTGTCCTCAGCTCACACATGCTGCCAGGCAGACACGTTTGCACACGCAAACTCATCCCCAGGCAGACTATGCTCCTACCAACACATTCACAAATATACAGAACCCACAAGATGGAAATGGGGCCTCATGTGCGCGCGCGCACACACACACACACACACACACACGCACACACACACACACACAGACACACACACACACGAGATGACAACGCCCTCAACCCCAGGCCAGCAGCCCCACTACCCACCCCTCAGCAGAACCACAGACCCACTTCCCCGCAGGAGGGCAGGGGTTGCCCATGACCCTACCTGCCTCCTCACTTCATGGAGCTGCCCCAGGACTGCTGGAGTCGGCACCAGCAGCAGGAGGACCCTTTCTTCCCGCTGCAGCTTCTTGGCCTGTGCTTTAGTTGCCTCAATTGCCACTTGAGTGTCCTGATGGAGACGCTGGTAGCGTCTCACATCACTAATGCCCTGCCAGGGAACATAGCACAGTGCCTTTAGCCCAGGGACGTGGTTCTTTCTCTGCTCTCTGGGAAAGTTGAAGTCCTGGGGAACCCCTGATATCCTCCACCTCATCTGCAGGAGCCCCCTACATCCAAGGGCCCTGGCAAGCAGCCATCCTCAGTACCATTAGCAAAAGAGACTACCAACTGGATAGCAAAAGGTGGCAAGGGACATAAAGTGCACCCAGTGCAGGAGCATTCTTAGACCCAGACAATGTCCCTCATTAGAAAAAACACTGCAACAACAGAGAGAGAGAGGGGAAGAACCAGTTTGCAAGAACTGACAACCCAAATGAGCAGAAGTGAATGAAAACGCCCAGCAAGCCACGTACCCGCCCAGTCTGCAAACGTCTTCGTTCCTCCATGATCCTTCAGTCAAGATATTCATCACCTGGGGGGTTCTTAACACTAGGGCAGTGGTCTCCAACCTTTTTGGGTAGGAGATGACTTTTTTAATTAAACAGCAACCCAAGATCTACCATGCCCAGCCCCTGCTCCTGCCCATGCCCTGCTCCCTCCCTCATCACTGCAGCCTTGATCTGTCCCCCTTCCCCACGGCGGTGAGTGAGGGAGTGGGGCAGGGGCAGGCCCTGCACAGCTGGAGTAGGTCACAGGATGGAGGTGAGCAGCTCATCTC